AATATTATATGCTAGTTGTATGTGGATGGTTAGCGTTGCTATGTATTGTTTTATATATATATATATATATATATATATATATATATATATATATATATATATATATATATATATATATATATATATATGTGTGTGTGTGTGTGTGTGTGTGTGTACATACACATACATATATATAATTGTAGATATGTGTGAATGTAACAATTTACGTGTGTGTGTATGTGTGTGTGTGTGTGTGGTTGTAGTTGTGACGTGACGCGTGGGGTTTAAATGTTTATAAGTTGAGTAGGGATGTTCCTCTCAACACATTCCCTCCACCAGATTAACCGAACTAAAATCTGAGCTATGTTGCTCTCAGACAAAGTCCTGGATACCCAAGAAAACAGCCATATTGGCTCGTTATGTACATTAACATTAGCTGAACTTGGTACCCACAAGAGAAGGAAAGGAATTTTAGATGTCTATAGCATTATACATAATGAATTATTAGACAGGGAAAATGATTCCTCCGTCATCTACCTTCTCCCGATGTTATTATGAATAATTAAAGAATTATTATCATATTATTTGAGCTCCCACCAAATGGTATTCTATCTTAACAGTTTAATTAAACATGTAAGAACAGACATTTGGAATTACAAAAACTGATGCAGGATAAGACCATATATTTGATTTATTAACCTAGCAATCAGAGTATGACATTAGTCATCATTATTGTTATAATAGATAGTGATGGTATGGTGATAATGAGAGGCTTCAGCTAGATAACTGAGCCTGGGATTAGAATGGTATGATGAAGGTGATAACGTATGAACAATTTATGACATAACTTAGTTATCATAGAACCTCTGACAGCCGTGAGCACTGTCAAGCTCTTCCTCCTCTTCTAGCTTCTTCCCTGCTTGTTTTCTGCCTGTTTCAGCTCAGTCTCCACTTCATTCTCCACCTCGTTCTTCACCTCGTTCTCCACCTCGTTCTCCACCTCGTTCTCCACCTCGTTCTCCACATCGTTCTCCACATCGTTCTCCACCTCGTTCCCAGCTGGCCGAGTCTAACACAATGTAGTCTCTTTCATGGACTGATCGTCACATGGGCGCTGTAATCATGGAAACAAAACGCATACGTGTAGTATCTTGACTTACACTAAGAATACATGTATTAATTAATATAACATATAATAATAAAATATATCCCATCACTCCTCATCATATTTAACATTCTCTCCAGTCTAGTCTGAAGGTCTTTTGTCTTACATGGACGTCACATATCCTGCCTTCCTCTCATGCTATGTCATGATAGTTGACTTTCTAAGTCTGTTGTCCGTCATCACTCAGACTTCGAATTGGCTGACATTGATTTGACATAAACATGTGGCGCAGGTTATGTGCTGAACACGCAACCAAGTTATATGTGCACGCTGTCCTGAATATTATCTTTCAGTGACCGTGAATTCTATACACCCATCATTCTTCCCCTGGGGTTATAAATCCCCTGTTTAGGTGAACACATTAAGTGAGCACATGGTGGGCACACAAATGTAGCAGCATTCCTGCACATATTTGGGCATCATTTCCCACAGTCCCAACTCATATTTTGGCTGATTATGGAAACAATATAATTACATTTCATTATAGCAAATGTCATTGTTCACATCTTATTTTATACACATGAAAACATACACTGAAAAACATGTGACACAAACATTCAAGAAATAGGAATAGTTTAGCAGTTCCCTAACTTGAGATACTGAATACTCACAAAGAACTATTTCAAGCAGAATGTGCAGACAAATTAGGAAAAGGTAGTATAGACTAAGCTTAACTCCCTAACCTATGCATACAAGATTAAAATTAATATTCACCTGGGAACTTTCCATCAATCGCCAAACCAGAATCCGACCGTAAAAATTACCTTTACGTCGACCTGTGTTTGTTGCTTGCTAGCTGCGATGTGACGGGAATTCCAAAGGCTCGAAGTATACTATCTATCTGTCTCAAAGGTTAAACTCCTCCCTTTACTCGGTTCTACCCAACCCTCAAGACGATGACTTAAACCACGCCTCTGAAGTACCTATCAGATCAAATTAGCTAACAAGTGGCCTGTCAGTCAATTCTGGACTGACATCCCTAGAGCGAACATTCTTAAGTGACCCAATCTAGTTTACAACGAATCTAACTGGCGGGTGTTAAAAGACGGTCAGTGAAGCCATTGTGTTTCCTACTTGACCAAGATCAAACATTCCTAATTGGCAAACACCTGTTCTCCGGAGAATTACACTGACGTGCGAACTCCAGCCTCTGGTCTCCACAATGTCTACCGGTCCACTCTCAGTTCCTCTGATCTAGAAATTTCAAAGCAGCCCCTCAGTCTGTGTTCAGGAGATAACATTCTGATATGGGCATGTGAAAGGAAATTCTCTAGCCCCGGTGTAATTGCGTAACATTACCCAAGACTCAGTTGCTTTGTCTGGACTAAGGACTGGAAACATTTAAATCAGTTTGTTTTAAAGTATTACCAATAACCAGAAGAACTTATTACACGTACAAACTTCTGGAACCACTGACGTCGTCTCGTGACAGTAGTTAATGTTAGGATAGTTTATTAACGTGTGTGCATGTTAGTGTATGCGCTAGTTTGAGTTATATCTATCTATCTATCTATCTATCTATCTATCTATCTATCTATCTATCTATCTATCTATCTATCTATCTATCTATCTATCTATCTATCTATCTATCTATCTATCTATCTATCTATCTATCTATCTATCTATCTATCTATCTATCTATCTATCTATCTATCTATCTATCTATCTATCTATCTATCTATCTATCTATCTATCTATCTATCTATCTATCTATCTATCTATCTATCTATCTATCTATCTATCTATCTATCTATCTATCTATCTATCTATCTATCTATCTATCTATCTATCTATCTATCTTTCTATCTATCTTTCTATCTATCTATCTAATCTATCTATCTATCTATCTATCTATCTATCTATCTATCTATCTATCTATCTATCTATCTATCTATCTATCTATCTATCTATCTATCTATCTATCTATCTATCTATCTCATCTATCTATCTATCTATCTATCTATCTATCTATCTATCTATCTATCTATCTATCTATCTATCTATCTATCTATCTATCTATCTATCTATCTATCTATCTATCTATCTATCTATCTATCTATCTATCTATCTATCTATCTATCTATCTATCTATCTATCTATCTATCTATCTATCTATCTATCTATCTATCTATCTATCTATCTGTATGGCCTCAATTTTGCTCTCTGACATTTCAGAAAATGCAGGACAGTCTGGCATCACGTCGTTCGAGACAGAAGACTACGGAGACGCCCGTTAAACAACATCACATGCCATGATAGACTGCAACAAGAAAACCATTCATTCTGCAGACGCTTTTTCTACAAACACGTGAAATGTGACTGTCCTTAACAAACAGAACGTCTTCTGCCTCTGCCAGAACACTACAGCTAAAATGACTGCTGGAGTTGCTTGTTCTGAAGCACTAACTAGCATTGTACTCCAGGGATCCTTACACAGTTCCCCAGCCTACACTGCCAAGTTGCCCTGGCCGGATCAAGCGGCGGAGTCACAATGGAAGGGACGTAATAGAATTTATCGCCAAATTGGAGTCTTCGATTGGCGAAATTATTAATTAGTGCTGGTGAGATGTGAGAGAGCTGGTCTGCAATTTGGTTACTCTCTTGGAGGTAACAAGCTTGTGAGCCTGTTAAAGAGGCTTAGCTTTTCTGGGGACTTGCTTCCATCTTGACGTCTGTTGGTGGTGTCTTGCTTGTTTTAATTTGATGTTTTTGTGGTCGGGGTTGGAAATAAATTGCTTACACTTGTGGTGGTTGTAACATAAGGCGAACGTAAGAGTGTGGAGTAAGGAAGAGGATTGTGGTGACATGTATATGTGTGTGTCCGTGCGTGTGTTTTGTGTAATGTAGAGAGAGAGAGAGAGAGAGAGAGAGAGAGAGATAAAGAGAGAGAGAGAAGGAGAGAGAGAAAACACAAGAGGCAATGAGAGCAACGATGACAAATAGCGAAATAATAGTAAGAAACAAAGACAGTCGGAGAAAGAGAGAGAGAGAGAGAGAGAGAGAGAGAGAGAGAGAGAGAGAGAGAGAGAGAGAGAGAGAGAGAGAGAGAGAGAGAGATGATAAAAAAAAGATAGAGATAAAGAAGAGCTCTAATGTATGTTAGTGTGTATATGTGTCTGTATATATATATATATATATATATATATATATATATATATATATATATATATATATATATGTGTGTGTGTTGCGTACGTATGTGTGTGTGTGTGTGCAAAGAGAAAGAGATATAATAAACGAAATATAGAGTTAATGAGAGACAGAGGTGGGTGATGTCGCAAATATTATACCCGCTGCCTTGACTTTCCATGATTTTGCCTGGTATCCATCTAAGGCTGGAATCCTTTGTCATTACTGAAAACAAAAAGGATCGGCTCCGTCAGGATCTAAACCCCCGACCTTTGGATCTATAGGCCAGAGTCTAGCCGCTACACTGATTCTGCTCCCGTAAAGTCAAAATACACACATATCAATGTTCAAACAGTAGATCAACATGGCACAGGGGCAGTAACCCATAAGTGTTCTGCTGTACTTCTAACTCAAGCCTGAGTCTGAAGAATCTCCGTTGCACTGGCGACCATCCTGAAGTACCATGGGTAGAGTTTTAGCTCTACATTTTGCCCGGGCAGCGCCGTTAGGCTACTCTTTTCGGTTTCCAACAGCCAAGGGATTTTTTTTACCTGCTCAAAAATGCACACGAGCGTCCGATCTTACTACCCAGAGACCAGAGAAATTACTAGAAGTCCACGTAAAAAATTCAAGCCTTCACTGGGGCCTGAAGTCAGGGCCTCCAGAACTCGAGGCGGACATCATACCTCGAGACCACTCAAACACATAGAAAGCCACAACCATTGGTATGTGCTCACCAGAGGCCACCCAGGTTGACCCGTAAACAGCCGACCCCTGGCATCGAAGAACACGTGTCGAAACGGCTACACTGCCATCAAAGGAAACAAGATTTGCAAACAGCCAGTGAGCGGCAGGGCTGCCAATGATGGGTTTTCACCCCCACATCTGGGTTTTCGACGCCTTAAAATCTGTGGATATTTTAATATACAAAAGTGAGTAAATTTTTGTTTTGTAACTATACAATTTGTATTTTTTAACAGTTTGGGGTTTTTCATTTTGTTTTTTGTTCTTTGCTTATGTATTGCTTGGGTTTTTGTTCAGCGTAGCTAAATTTTTCAACAAAAAAAAAAAAAAATCCCCTTTGGCAGCCCTGGCGAGCGGTCGCTACTCTAGGCCAGCGTGCCTCAACGTTTGTACACCTGCGGGTCACCAAAACAGGGGAGCTCGTTTCACGACACACATGACATTGAAACAAAAACAATTGTAGACGACAGTTTATTTATTACATTCAATGTCACATAATTAAAATTGTCGGCTAATGCGACATTTGTTGTTTAGAAGTTAGAACATCTCATATATTAGAGCGGTGTTTCTGATACAGGAAGCGCTGCAGTAATATCCATATATTGATTTCTCTGTTTTATTTTTATTACTGATATGGCTGCGAAAGTTTTGTTGCGGAAAAAGAAGTTTACACACACACACACACACACACACACACACACACACACACACACACACAAACAGTCTCATAGCTCTATAGCTCAGAAATTATTAGGCAGAAATTATTGACGGCTCACCAGAACGTTTCCATAACCCACCAGTGGACCGTGGTCCCCTGCGTTGAAGAACACTAGAACATTTAAGCTGGGGACGTTACCTGTGTTTGCGGCTATGGCTTGAAGAACACTGGAACATTTGAGCTGCGGTGAAAGCGGGAACGGTTACCTGTGTTTGCGGCCATGGCTTGAAGAACACTGAAACATTTGAGCTGCAAGGAAAGCGGGGACGGTCACCCGTGTTTGCGGTTCTGGGAGAAAGTGCTGCTGGGTACGGCAGTCTTTGTTGGTTGTCTATGGACGCCTTTCATAGTGATCAATGCTTTTTGGAGATTTACAGCCAGGCGCTGTCACATGGGTGTGGTGCGAGTTTGTGGCTCTGCGCGGGTGTGTATGTATGCGTGCCTGCGTGTGTATAAATATATCTGTGTGTGTGTGTGTGTGTGTGTGTGTGTGTGTGTGTGTGTGTGTGCTCGCGCCCGTGAGAAAGGGGTAGGGTTGGTCAAGTGGTGGTGGTTTGTGGAGGGGACTGCAGGATGTAAGGCTAGGGATGGATGGATTGAGTTTTCTTTTTCCTCTTCTTCTTCTTTTCCTTCTTCTGCTGTTTGTTCTTCTTCTTCTTCTTTTTCTTTTGCTCTTTGTTCTTCTTCTTCTTCTTCTTCTTCTTCTTCTTCTTCTTCTTCTTCTTCTTCTTCTTCTTCTTCTTCTTCTTCTTCTTCTTCTTCTTCTTCTTCTTCTTCTTCTTCTTCTTCTTCTTCTTCTTCTCCTTTTTCTGCCTTTTCTTCATCTTTTTCTTCGCGTTCACCTGTTGTAAACTTCGGCAGAAATTTCTGATTGTTCATCCACTTCTGGACTTGAGCCTTGTTCTAAAACCTCAGTTGTGCGTGCGTGTACAGCCGTTTTACAGATGTCTTTTTTTATGCAGACCGTTAGCACCTTGCCTATCAGTCTGATGCACTCCGACTTTAAGGGATATATCCCCAGAGAGACCCTCCCCCTCATTTCTACACACACACACACACACACACACACACACACACACACACACACAGACCTCCCTCTCCAATTGTTTATCGTGTTGGGTGGGGAGGGTACCTGAAAGTTTTTAAGGAAGTTTAAATGGTCGGTTTAACTGGTCCTTAAGAGAGAGAGAGAGAGAGAGAGAGAGAGAGAGAGAGAGAGAGAGAGAGAGAGAGAGAGAGAGAGAGAGAGAGAGATAGAGAGAGAGAGAGATTTGGAGAAGGGGGGGAGAAGCATGCCGTAAAAGGTGACCAATTAGGGTGTTCTCTTCGAAGTCGGAATGCAACTGTGTGAAGGAAGAGGAGCCAACAATTTCCGTACTCCTGGAGAATGGAGGATGGTGGAGTCCCTAAGGACGTCTTCGAAAGTAAATTGACGCTGACTTTCTACCCCACCAGGACATCACACAAGCGATAAACACCCGATGACACAAAGTGCCACCACGTGGATGAGGATCACCGTGGAGAGGTCCCAGAAACTGCGTTCAGCTTTTAGGTCATATATGGCCAGGCTATATTACAGCCCCTGGCAAGAGCCAGAGTAGGGCTTCAAATGATGAAGAATGTCATCCTTAAAAGGACGAGAGATTATAAAGTAAATTACAAACGGCTAGAAGACGTCGGGGGCCGACCTCTACTACGATATAAAGATGTGTACAAACGGGGTATGAATGATACAGGTATTAAAGAAGACTCGAGGGAACAAAATGCCATGGACTTTGTTGTGTGCAGATGGCACATCAGAAAGGGAGGAAAAATTAAAGAAGAAAAAATTGCTGAAAGGAAAAGAGCAAAGCGTGGGAGAAGAAACACACTAAACACAAATGTTGACAACATTCATTGTGTACATTAGTCCCATGTAGTCACTTCATGGTTAGAGCATATTTGTGTGTGTGTACTGTATTGTTCTTTATGTGCTGATGAAGGCTAATCGCCGCAACGTCCTTTGTTCGTCTATTGTGATTGATTTTGTAAAGCTAACATAAACTGTTTGTTGTTTCTTACCAAATTTTTTGTCTTCCCTATAATTTTCTACTCCTTTTAAAAACTTATAATTGGAGAAGACTTTTCTCAAAGCCTGCGGGTCTTGCTTGTCACACTCGCCACCGCCAAGTTCGATCCCTCCTCATAGCGTAGTATAACGCTATCGTCTGGAAAGACGGAAAGGGGCCAATGAATGAAGTTAGATCTCTGAAACGGATTTGCACACAAATCACAAGTTCTGAAACAAGACCAAAGACCATAAATGGATGAACAACCAGAAGTTTACGTCAGAGTTTACAGCCGGTGAACGCTAAGGATACAAAGAGTAAGTTCGATTAATCGTCCCCGTCCGGATTGGACGGATAACGAACAGACGGATAACAGAAATATCTTAATAACTATGCATGTACAGTAATATGATTTCACTGCGGACGAGAATGAAAATAAAATCCCTTACATAAAAACAAAATGTACACATTGTTTTTAATTTTTTTTTTAAACGATAAATATCAACTTAAATATAAGAATAGTAAGGAAAATGTGTTGTAATACTATACACCTACGTAACTTTTTAAATAATCTGTTATGTAATTCTGTGTCTCTAAGGCTACAGCTTTCTGCGCGGCAATGTTCCGTGTGTGACGCAGAAGTGGTAACAATATGGCGGTGACTGCAGTTAAGCTAATACAAGGAATTCCAGAGAAATTTGACTACAAAGCTCATCAAAATGGGGAAGCAGAAAAACGTGCACAAACAACACAACGTAACGTTTCGTTTTTCAAACATAATTGAACTACACAAACGTAACAACGAGGAGTGGAGTGTATGAACATCTCTAAGGGGTGACGTGAGCAACGTTTAAAAAAAATGTGATGTGGAATAAATGAAATAAAATAAAATAAACGATGGTTAAAAAAGTATAGTCACAAAAAAATAATAAACAGTAGTATTGTTAATATATAATATAATACTGGGAATAAAAGAAATACAAATGTTAATGATACATAAATGATACTGATGAGAAATAGAATAAAGTAATAATATGAAATAAAATAAAATAAAATAAAAGAATTAATATTTAAAATGTGATAAGAGTAGAACTATTTAGATGAAGGTATGTTGGATATTGATACCACCTCGACTAAGAACGCCTAGGCTGTGGATGAGGCGATTTTCCAAAGCGAAGCGCGTAGTATGATCGCCAGAGCAAGATTTTAATGCTGAGGCAGATATATCATCTTTACCTCTGTGGTCAGAGCTAATAAAATGGAGAGCGATTGGTTTAAGTATCTTCTTGTCAATATCGGAAAGGTGTTCCCAGAAACGATCAGCTAGCTTCCTGCCAGTTTCCCCTATGTATGCCTTACTGCATCGTTTGCAGATAATTGCATAAATTACGTTGCGGGATTCGCAAGTAAAAGGTTCCTTAATTTGGAAAGAACCATTAGGGAGACTGACCGAAGAACTGACGCAGAAGTCGGATCTGTGTTGCATTTGTCTTGCTTTGCATTTCAAACCAGTCTGTGAGCTTTGATAACATGTTTTCAGCTTCATTGGGTTGAATGACTAACCCGTGTATAATTTTATAGACACCTGTTTGTTTTTTGATACGTTTTTTTTTAGACTATGACAGATAGAAGAAACTGACGGTAAAAGGACAGTTAATGGAATTTCTGTTGTACCTAATTTGTTGACTAGGCTACGATGACTCTGAACATCGCTAGGTGCGAAGTCTAGCCGCGTTGGCCTTATTCCTCACACTCCCCTGTTAGGGTTCCCTATCTGTTTACTTAAGCTGGTACCTATAATGAGCAAAGACAGTTGTTGATACCTGTCCATGTAATCGCACAGACGGTGGTCTGGTAACTTTCTGCTGTATCTGTTTCTGCTAATCCGTCAACTAGTAACAGACCCAAAGCCGGGGCGCTAATCAAAAGCCCTTTTTCTGAAACTTCCCTTCAACGACGTCTGCAAAGACGACACATTAGAATCCCCTTAAGAAGGGCGTGAGTCGTTGAATCAAACTTGGAAAAGAAAACGCCTTTTAGACAATCAACATCACGCCCGTTGCTTGCTGCCTGTTTCTCTTTGTTGGCATCAATCCTCTCCGCCTGTGATAGCTTTTTCTCGACACCTCTTTTGACTCGAGCCGGATCTCTCGTCAGGGTAGAATAGACCATTGTGGACGTCAGGCCTCAGTCGGCCTATATATCATTCATAATTGCTTTCTTCTGTTCAGTTGCTGGTGC